CCTTCCTTCTGAGGAGTGGCTGGTGGGTTTGAACTGCCAGCCTTCTGGTTAGCAGTCAAGTGCCTTAGGCACTATGCTACCAGAGCTCCTTATAAATGTCCTATAAGACAACTGAAAAGGAGAAAACTGACCAGTTTATTCATAAGCTTAAAATAACCCATTTCTCATGAAAAACAAACAAACAAACAACTGCTCTAAGACAAAAAAAGAATTTTTCCTAGCGGTCCTCATAAATAAAACTATGACACAATGAACAAAATCTTCTGTATACTCACTTTTATAAAGCCATTGTTTACAATGATCCCTGACATGACCATGGTAAAAGTAGATTTCCATATTTCTATACTACTCTTTGAAGACTTCTATTAGGTGATACAAATGGTTGAGTGTTCAACCCCTAGACAAAAAGTTGGAGGTCTGAACCCACCTAGTGGTGCCTTGGAAGACAGGCCTGTCAATCTGCTTCTGAGAGGTTCCAACCATGAGTACTCTATGGAGTAGTTCACTCTATAAACATGGGTCACCATGAGTCTGAATCAACTCCATGGAAGATAACAACAACATTAAGAATTACCCATATCTATTGAATTGTTATTGTGAGTTCTTCAAGGGTCATGATTGTCTCTTATTATTTTCTAATCTCAAGGACTTAGCATAAGGTCTACCATACAGTACGTGTTAAAGTTTGCTGAAAGAATATATGGATTCCTTTTTACTTTTTATCTGATGATTTTACCTCTCATAGTATCCAATAAAGTTCCTTCAGTAGCATAAATATTTAGTCCAAGATGTAAACTAATCCTTACTAACCATTCTTCTATGGCTGTAATATCTGTTTTAAAACAAAAGACACATAATCAGCTATTTTTATATATCATATTGGTGAAATTTAAGACAATATGGATATTACAACAATTATGTATAATTTTCCAAACATTTTGACTGCACTTATTTGTAAGGCTTCCCACATTTTTCTTGCAAACATTTTACTGATAAAATAATTAAAAAGGAATTATGACGTGATCTTACTACTAATGCCACTGATCCAGGTAACAATATTTTGGGCCATACTTTTTCTCCTAGAGCTACTGTGGTTTGATAAAAAGCCAAATTATGACACTTCATGTGAAATGGTATATTTGAAGGTGGACTGTGATTAATTAAAATTATAGTATAAACACTAAGGCAATTACAAAAAAATTAAGGTTTGTGTAAAAAGCCTATAGTGGTAATAAAATGGAATTATAAAAAATATTCAATCTGAATGAAGACAACAAAAGAGAAAAAAGTAAAACAGAGATAATGGAACAAATTGTGAATAACCTGCAAGATGATAAATTTTACTACAACCATAGCAACAATTACATTAAAAGTAAATGGTCTAAAAACAGCTAAGAGACATATTTCCAGATTAGATATAAAAATTAAGACTGAACTATATGTTATCTATAAGAAATTTACTTTAAATATAATGACATATGAGTTAAAAGTAAAAAGATGAAAAAGATGTATCATATTAATCAAAAGAAATCTGGTGCCCATGCCAATTTAGCCACAGCCCAAAGATTTCAGAACAAGATAATTACCAGGGATAACAAAGAGCAATACATAATGGTAAATTTTTCAACTCACAAAAGATAAGACAGAGACTGCCCAAGATGACAGCTTAATCAGATACATTATGCTGTCCCTCTACAGCAAAGACTCAAGAAACCAAGTGAAAAAGAGACAGACGACAATCCTAGAACCCTGAGTATCGAAAGGAAAGATGAAGAATTAGATCGAACACTGACTGGAAGGAGAAACCAAACGAAAACAGTAAATGGGGAGAGTTACAGATAGGAGGTGCCCTGCCAGCTGGCCCGGCACAATGTGACCATCTTGAGACAAAGCAAGCAGATGTCAGGTGAAGAGTGCAGAAAAGCAGCTTCATGGAATTTCCATTAGGAGTCTGACAGACTGTGTAGACAAACTTGGAGTGAATTAAGGTAAGTAGCACATGAACTGGATCTAAGAAGGGAAAGTACAGGCAGGGAGGCAAGTTCATGATGACCACAGAGCAGAGAGGAAGCCAAGAACCAGAGACAGGGTCACTCACCGGTGGCAGTCCTTGACCATTAGGGCAAGCGGTGCACATGGAGTAGCAGAGCCTTAGAGTGTCAGCAGAAGGACCAGACCCTGGGAAGCCCTCCCCTCCTCACACTTGGTCAGGGCCAGTTCCCAATTGCTGGCTGCTGGCTATGGGACTGCCCTGGCAACCATACTTAGTGACCAGAGGACCATGCTTCCTTCCACCCTCCCTATGGTGACCTGTGGTGTGAGCCTACCCCTACCCCTCAAAAAAAAAAGTACAGAGAGGATTTTTGAAGACATATTGGTAGAAAACTTCCCAAATATTATGAAAGATAAGAAGGTTTCCATCCAAGAAGCCCAACAAGCCCCATACAGGATAGACCTCAGAAAAAATTCACCAAGACATAACATAATCAAATTTTCTAAGACCAAAGACAGAAAATCCCGAAAGCAGCTTGTGAAAAATGAAATATAACTTAAAAAGGGCCACCAATAAGACTAGGAACTGATTTCTTGTCAGAAACCATTCAAGCAAGAAGGCAATGGGATGACATACATAAAATCCTGAAAGAAAAAAAACTGCCAACCAAGAATCACATATCCAGCAACACTGTCTTTCAAAAACAAAAAAAACTAAGACATTTCCAGGTAAGCAGAAATTAAGGGAATTTGTAAAAAACCAGACCAGCCTTAAAAGAAATATTAACATTTGCATGACCTGTGGGTCACATATCATCCACCAACATTTTCAGGCTCTACATTCTGTGGGATCACCTTTCTTTGGAATGGGCACAAATATGGATCTCTTCCAGTCAGTTGGCCAGGCAGCTGTCTTCCAAATCTCTTGGCATAACTGAGTGAGTGTCTCCAATGGGGCATCTGTTTGTTGAAATATCTCTATCAGTATGTCATCAATTCCTGGAGCCTTGTTCTTCGCCAGTTCTTTCATTGCAGCTTTGACGTCTTCCTTCATTACCATTGGTTCTAGATCATATGCCACTTCCTGAAATGGATGAAGAT